AAAGACACAGGTGTGTGACAGACTCAGGTGTGTGAAAGACACAGGTGTGTGAAAGACGCAGGTGTGTGAAAGACACAGGTGTGTGACAGACTCAGGTGTGTGAAAGACACAGGTGTGTGAAAGACGCAGGTGTGTGAAAGACACAGGTGTGTGACAGACACAGGTGTGTGACAGACTCAGGTGTGTGACAGACACAGGTGTGTGAAAGACACAGGTGTGTGACAGACTCAGGTGTGTGAAAGACACAGGTGTGTGAAAGACGCAGGTGTGTGAAAGACACAGGTGTGTGACAGACTCAGGTGTGTGAAAGACACAGGTGTGTGACAGACTCAGGTGTGTGAAAGACACAGGTGTGTGAAAGACGCAGGTGTGTGAAAGACACAGGTGTGTGACAGACTCAGGTGTGTGAAAGACACAGGTGAGTGAAAGACTCAGGTGAGTGAAAGGTTAAGGGAGACTGTCAGTCCTAATACAGAATGTTTAATACATCAAGAGTGTGATTTGCATTAAATACTTTATAGACTAACAATTGAATTGAATTGAATTTATTGTTGAGGATAACCCCTTGAGATGAAACATCTCGTTTTCGAGGGGGTCCTCGAGACAAAGACAAAGATAATGCAGCACATATACATTCACTCACACTAAAGCTCTACCTCATCCCGCCTCGCCCGACCCACCAACTCCTTATTGGAAACAAATCCATGAGTAAAACATATTGCAGTATTAAGATGCATAACAACATTTAGCCCTGGCTTACATACACATATGTCTATACATACATATATACAAACATCATGTATACACATACCTACACCCATACTCGCATAAGTACACATAATAAAAAATAATAAAAAATAAAAAAATAAGTATCCCAGATATAAAGGGTATAAAAAACAAAAGTCCAGTCATGCATGAGGAAAACATTTACAGCAACAATTTGCTTGCAAGTAAGTAAAGAGAGATATTTTGAAGGAACACAATGATGTGACAGATCTTAGAGACCCAGGGAGGCTATTCCAGTCTGAGGGGGCTTTGAATTTAAAGGCACGTCTACCACTCTCTTTGGAGATATTTGGCACAATGAAGGAGAGATATTCAGTGTGTCTCAATCTATAGCTGGGTCTATATGGAAGTAAATATTCCTTCAGGTAAGAAGGATAATTATAATACACACATTTAAAAATGACCTGATACCAGTGATACTGTCTTCTGGCTTTTGGTGATAATAGGTTCAGTGAGTCATACATTACACAGTGGTGAGTAGTAAAAGGACATCTCAGCACAAATCTACATATATTTTTGAAAACAACATTCAATGCCTTCAAATTTGATTCTGATGTGTTTTGATAGACAATGTCCGCATAGTCTAATATGGGAAATATTAACTGTGACACAATTCTTAGTCTAATCAGTTGAGTGAAACAGTTAATAGAGCGACACAATATTCGTAAATTACAATTAATCTTTTTAACAACAGAGTTGATATGACACCTAAAGGAGAGTTGTGAGTCAAGCCAAAGGCCCAAATATTTAAGTTCATCAACTTGTACAAGTTGAGTATCGTCTAGGAATTTGAGTAAAAGTTTGTTATCTTGATTCATTGAAGCTGATCTGGTGGGGAACAATATGCTATATGACTTTTTCTTATTCAATAGAAGATGATTGGATTGGAACCAAAGTTGAATGGTATAAAAATTAGATTGCAATGAGGATTGAATCTTAGAGACAGACACATTAGATGTGTAGATCGCTGTGTCGTCTGCATATAGATGGATACAACAGTCTGAGCAAATTAGAGGAAGATCATTGATAAATAAAGAAAATAGAAGAGGCCCTAAGGAAGAGCCTTGAGGGACACCTTTGTCCATTATTAAGGACTGTGATACGCAACCACAAAAAGAAACACGCTGTCGTCTACAGTGGAGGTAGGAATTAAACCAGAGAAGAGAATCTTTGGTAAGGCCTATGGCATATAATTTGTCGAGAAGCAAATAGTGATCGACCATATCGAAGGCCTTAGTGAGATCTATAAATATTGCACCAGTTGACATGTTATTATCTAAGGAAGATGAAACATCATTGGTAAATTTTAGAAGAGCAGTAGTTGTAGAGAAGTTTGGTCTAAAACCAGATTGATTTGGAGACAGAATAGAGAAATCATTAATATATTTGAATAGTTGTTTAAATATGATTTTTTCAAAGACTTTTGCTATACTACTGATGATAGAAATAGGTCTATAGTTGTTAAGATCAAGTGCATCGCCACCCTTATGTATTGGTGTAACTCTGGCAGACTTCCACATTAAAGGAACCACACAGGTGGATAATGATAAATTAAATAAATCTGATAAAAGAAATGCCAGTACATGAGATGCGAGCTTAATAAACTTAATCTCCAGGCCATCGGGATCAGTACCCTTACCTGACTTTAGTTCGGAGATTGCTTGCTGAACTTCAGTAGGATTTATTTTAGCAAATGAGAAGGAACTGTTAAACACATCTGCCGGACTAGAGTAGGAGAAATTAGAAAATTGTGAACTACAAATGGAGGAAAAGTGTTGGTTGAAAGCATTGGCAACTGCAAAAGGATCACTGATAACATCATTATTGACTTTGATTTCGGTAGCAATGCTTTTAGTGGAATTTTTATATAAAGAATTAAGGCTTTTCCAAAACTTCTTAGGATTATTGAAATTATTAGATAGAAAGTTTGTATAATAGTTCGATTTAGCATTCCTTGTTTTAGTCGTACACATATTTCTTAATTGTTTATATACAGCCCCGTCTGATGGATCCTTTGACAGGCGGCACTTTACCCATGCCTTGTCTCTTTGTTTAAACAGATGAATTAAATCAACGTCAATCCATGGTAAATGTCGGCCCTTAACCTTGACTGATATCCAAGGGGCATGTTTATCAATTATTTTAAGCACTTCTGTATAGAAAAAATTCCAAGCATCTTCAACAAAAGGAATAAGGTTAAACCTGTTCCAATTTATATCTAATAAATCTTGGATAAAAAACTCAGTGTTAAAATGTTTACTCTGCCTTACCCTGATCACCTTGGGTGGTAGGCGTGGTATTCTAATTTTCCATACACAGAAAACCATGGAATGATCACTAAAGCAATCGGGTAGAACACCGGTTTCAGTAATCCTGTTAGAGTGGGTGACCAAAATCCAGTCCAACAAAGATTTGGATCTATGGTCAACCCGAGTAGGTTCTCTAATTAGTTGAGTCAGATTTAAGCTTTCAAAATAATTTCTATCATTTAGAGATGAACGATCTAACCAGTTAATGTTAAAATCACCAAGGATAATCATCTCGTTTGAGCTACCCACAGATTTTATAGTAGTGCCTATGCAGTGTATTGACTCTGTAGGAGAGTTTGGAGGTCTGTAGATGTTCCCTATAATCAGCTGTTTATTAACGTGAAAACTAATTTTAACAAAAAGACATTCAAAGTATACAGGGTTTTCCTTAGGGGCTATAAACTCAGATAATAAATTTGAGGAGACATAAGTGGCTACCCCTCCTCCACGAGTACCCCTATCAGCTCTATACAAAATATAACCATCCAGTTTAATTTCCTCATCTAATATGTTTTTATTCAACCAGGTCTCAGACAGTGTTATAACATTTGGTTTATTATAGACCAACCAGGCCCTTAAGAGATCAATTTTATGTGGCAAGCTCCTTATATTCAGATGAATGACAAATAAGCCTTTACCCATGTTGACTATTCAAGGACATAGGAAAAAGGGTTGAAGGGTTGGAGGTTGGGGGGAGAAAGCGAAAGTGATTCTATATTTAACATCAAAATTAAATTTTAAAATGTATGTTTTTAATGTAACCTCACTTGAAATACTTTGGTCAGTTCGAGAATAATTCATGCAATTTTATATTATTTATTTGATACAATTAAAAGAGCGGTTTCATGTCTATCCTTTTTATTGTTCAAGGTTGATAAGGTGATATTTAGAATATTTATGGGGATATTTATGGTGATATTTAGGTGTTGATAATGGTTGATATTTAGAAGGTAAATGGTAATAAGTAATACAATACTAGAGAGTAATTAGTCTAATTGCACTGTTGAAGATGTCATTAGTAGCTTGTAGCAAATCTTTTTTTAAAAATCTAATAAAATGTTTCAAAAAGTTAAAAATGCTTGTGTGTGTGTTGTTTGACTGCCATGATTAAATCCTTAAAAGCTTTGTGAAGTATATTGTAAATATCTGTCATCAGATATTAATAGCAAAACAAAGGTTTTGGATGTGAAGTCACGCGGTTCTGTGCATGTGTTTCCACATGTGTTGCAGACAGAAGCAGGGATAAATAACCCGTTTGAGTCTGAATACTTTAAGAGCAGAAGTTATCAGAGAGCTTCATCTGAGAGTGCTTCTGTTTCAGAGCGGCTGGTAAAAGTGCCATCAGATTCAGAAGAGATTCTGCTTTCATGCAGCGACTCAAAGCTGCGCGATATCAAACACAGACTCACCGCCAAACGCTCTTCCGCTTCAGAAAGAAAGACGTGAAATGTCACAATCGCATCTCCAGACTCAAGATTCAAAGATGACTTTTTAAATGTCAAAATGCCTTTAAACGATCCGTCATATCGAACGCTGTGAAATGAATTTGAATGAGAAAGTGTGAAACGCAAAGTTGAGATGTTGTTGTCCAGAGAGAAAAACAATATGTGGCGTCGGAGGAAAAGATGCGCGAGAGACGAGAGATGCCGTATTTCCCCCGGGTTTAATAAATACATCATCCGCATACATGGGGATTGAGTGAGAAAAAGCATTAAACATTCAACTCTGGTCACAAATAGAAAGGGAAATAAAAGAAAGTGTACAAAAGACGGTAGAGCGGTTATCTCTTCTCCTGCTCACCTGTCACATCTCTTACTGACACACTCTCTACACACACGTGCAGTTCTCCTCGTAGATTAACGAGCGTTACACGTGATGTGCCTGAGAAGCTCGAGAGAAACTGACCTCTCTCTTCCAGACGGGCTGGACCGTGTTGCAGATGATGCCGGACCGTTTCTCCTGTCCGTGATGAGGAAGAGCTGGGAAGATGCTGTGCTTTCCCGGCTGGATGGAGATCTTCAGATATGGGTCGGGATTAAAGAACATCCCTTTCTTTAGACCGACTGCCTGAAGGCCTGGAAAAAGCAGAGCAAAGGAAGGGTTTATGGTGAAAAAAAAAAATGTTTAGATAGATAGATAAACGAATAGAGAGACAGACAGACAGACAGACAGATGGATAGATAGACAGACAGACAGATAGATACAGATAGATAGATAGATAAATAGACAGACAGACAGACAGATAGATAGATAGATAGATAGATAGATAGATAGATAGATAGATAGATAGATAGATAGATAGATAGATAGATAGATAGATAGATAGATAGCTTAAACTTCCATGACGATGCAGCGTTGAAGAAGTCAACTAGCTAGTTACTACTGTTTCCCGAAACCGTATTGTCATATATTAGTCGTTAAACCACATTGGTTAATGATGTCATGCAGGTGGTGGAGTAATAACTACTTTTAGTGAAACTGTTTGAGATTGAATTAATGCTAGATGTTTTGCTGTTTTGCTATAAATTACAGACATGCATCTGAAGAAAATTTCTCATTTATCTCAGTTATTTTGCTTTATTTCCAGAGTCAATCATAGACTCGTTCTCACGCACTAGAGCTCGTTCACACATGCGCACTCTTCAAAAACGACGCTTTAAATCTCTTGACAAACTAAAAGACGTAAAGGACATTTGTATGTATTCTAAATAAAATATACAGATTGTACTGAATGTCATCTTGCTTGTTTTGGGACGATGGTTTCAGGAAACACAGACTCGTTGAACTGTTGATAACGACGGAACTTGCGACCATAGTTGGCTAACGATGCTTTTGGGAAACACACCCCTGAGTAACATTCATGTTCATGCATTGTTAAAATTCATAAAAATGTCACCGGATAACTGCTGAGTGACACCGTTTCGAATATTCGGCAATGCCGATATTTATTTGCATTTGGTGCTTGGCGAATGGTAATTTTAGGCCCTGTATAAATTATAGATATATATATATAATTTTAGGCCCATATATATATATATATATATACATATGTATGTGTGTGTGTGTGTGTGTGTATATAAAACAAGAATTTGATAATTTAAGGTACTGTAATTAATAATTAATATATTATTAAATAAAATAAAAAAACACTATTATTAAATTATTTTTATATATTATATTCTGACAAATAATGATATATACAATATATAATTAGAAATATAATTATATATTATTCTGTTATATTCTGACAAATAATTATATATATACACATTACATTAAATAACAAATAGTGAATTAATAATAACAAACATTTTTATAATTTGATGTTATTTATAATTATTCATTAAGATATTTCAATTCATAACAATGATAATAATAAAAACAGCAACAGGAATAATAATATTGCCCTTTAACATCTGGATAATTTATATTTAACAATGTATTTATGTTTGATTTATTTTAATAATTTTAATAAAACTGTTATTTGTAAAATTAAATAAAAATGGATTAAAAATATTATAAATGTAATAACACTGTCACGGTGTGGTGCAGAAGATGAAGGAGAATCAAGGTGTGGTGCAGAAGATGAAGGAGAATCAAGTTCTAATGCAAACTTTTACTCACAATATAAATCACACAGGTACATCGAAGACAGGCAGACGGTTCACACACACTTAGTACAACGGAGATCGGACAATGAACAAGGCAAAACGAAGGGCTTAAATACATGGGGAAACAGATCAGGGAAACGAGACAGCTGACAAGACTAACGAGGTAAACAGGTGTGACAGATGAACTAATGAGGGTTACCAAGGAAACAGATGAGTGGACAGAACAAAAGGAAGACATTTGACTTATAAAAATACAAACAAACACTGACACATGACAGTACTCCCCCCTCCCGGTAGGTGAGTCCTCGCACCATAGATAGACCAACTTCGGAGGGAGGGGGGGGGGGGGACTCAGGAGGAGGAAGAAGAGCAGGTGAAGGGCAGACAGAAGGCAGGAGGGATCAGGGCAGAGCAGACGATTCAGGCGGCCAGGGCGGAGATGACGGAGGCAAGAGCCATGGAGGAGGCAGGGTTGAGGACTCCAGGGGGCCGACTGACGGGGCGGAGCAGGTGGGAGAGGAGACCAGGGTGGAGCCGGAGAGCCGACGAGCCCAGGCGATGTGGAAATGGCGAAGCTTCAGTCGCCAGAGCCGGCAGTGCAGGCGGGGACACAGAAGGGCAGAGTGGAGAAGGAGGGAGAGAGGACCAAGGAGGAACAGAAGGGAGTGAAGAGTCCAATGGAGCCGGAGGGACAAGGAGTAGCCAGAGGAGTGCAGTACAGAGGTGAGAGTAGGTCGACGAGTTACCAAGATGGATTGGGGGGACGAGGGAGCCTGGCGAAACTGGTGAACTGATGGGCCACGGTGGAACTGAGGGAGGTAGGAGCTAAGGTGGAGTTGATGGATCGACGGGCCGAGGTAGAGTCCTGGTCGCGGAGGTTCTCCGACCAGGCTGGAGCTGCAGGCTGGCAGACCCACGGCGACTCCACCTCCCCGAAGGTGGTTTGAGGAGCTGAGGGGCTGACAGGCAGTGGTGGAAGAAGGGTTGAGGTGGCAGATGGGAGGAGGTGGGAGAGGGAGGCTGGTGGGAATTCAGGAGCCGATTCCGGCTCGGGACAGAAGACGCCGGCTCGGGGACAGAAGACTCTGGACGGGCGGTCTCAGAGGGACGAGACTCTGGAACGGGGACAGGAACAGGTCTGGGAACATGCACAGTCCTTGGGGCAGGAACAGGTCTAAGGACAGGAACAGGTCTGGGAACATGGACAGTCCTTGGGGCAGGAACAGGTCTAGGAACAGAACATGGAAAAGGGACAGGTATCTGCGTGGCGGCGGTCATCCTGGCTGAGGGCTCAGGCCGTGAGGTGGCGGCCATCTTGGCTAAAGGCTCAGGCATTGACCATCTTGACTGAGGGCTCAGGCAGTGAGGCGGCAGCCATCTTGGCTAAAGGCTCAGGCGGCGACCATCTTGGCTGAGGGCTCAGGCAGTGAGGCGGCAGCCATCTTGGCTGAGGGCTCAAGCGGTGAGGCGGCAGCCATCTTGGCTAAAGGCTCAGGCGGCGAGGCGGGGGCCATCTTGGCTGAGGGCTCAAGCGGTGAGGCGGCAGCCATCTTGGCTGAGGGCTCAAGCGGCGAGGCGGCGGCCATCTTGGCTGAGGGCTCAAGCGGTGAGGCGGCGGCCATCTTGGCTAAAGGCTCAGGCGGCCATCTTGGCTAAAGGCTCAGGCGGTGAGGCGGCGGCCATCTTGGCTAAAGGCTCAGGCGGCGAGGCGGGGGCCATCTTGGCTGAGGGCTCAGGCCGTGAGGTGGTGGCCATCTTGGCTGAGGGCTCAAGCGGTGAGGCGGCGGCCATCTTGGCTAAAGGCTCAGGCGGCCATCTTGGCTAAAGGCTCAGGCGGTGAGGCGGCGGCCATCTTGGCTAAAGGCTCAGGCCGGCGAGGCGGGGGCCATCTTGGCTGAGGGCTCAGGCCGTGAGGTGGTGGCCATCTTGGCTGAGGGCTCAAGCGGTGAGGCGGCGGCCATCTTGGCTAAAGGCTCAGGCGGCCATCTTGGCTAAAGGCTCAGGCGGTGAGGCGGCGGCCATCTTGGCTAAAGGCTCAGGCGGCGAGGCGGGGGCCATCTTGGCTGAGGGCTCAGGCCGTGAGGTGGTGGCCATCTTGGCTGAGGGCTCAAACGGTGAGGCGGCGGCCATCTTGGCTAAAGGCTCAGGCGGTGAGGCGGCGGCCATCTTGGCTAAAGGCTCAGGCGGCGAGGCGGGGGCCATCTTGGCTGAGGGCTCAGGCCGTGAGGTGGTGGCCATCTTGGCTGAGGGCTCAAACGGTGAGGCGGCGGCCATCTTGGCTAAAGGCTCAGGCGGCCATCTTGGCTAAAGGCTCAGGCGGCCATCTTGGCTAAAGGCTCAGGCGGCCATCTTGGCTAAAGGCTCAGGCGGTGAGGCGGCGGCCATCTTGGCTAAAGGCTCAGGCGGTGGCCATCTTGGCTAAAGGCTCAGGCGGTGAGGCGGCGGCCATCTTGGCTGAGGGCTCAGGCGGTGGCCATCTTGGCTAAAGGCTCAGGCGGTGAGGCGGCGGCCATCTTGGCTGAGGGCTCAGGCTGGGCAGGCATGACGTGAAAAAGCCTTGGATCTGGCTGTGTTCTGGATCAAGGCACAACGCTCTCCAGACACCGGATGGCGGTCTCCCTCCAGTCCAGTCTGGTGGTGTCTGGGAGGTCGATTGGATGGTTGAATGTGACCCCGATCCGGAACAAGGTGCTCAGGCTCACGTCAGAGGGTGCTGGCAAGGCGGCCATGACGATTATTTTGACCCTATCGTCCATTTTGGGCGGTCCGATCTTCTGTCACGGTGTGGTGCAGAAGAAGAAGACGAAGGAGAATCAAAAGTTCCAATGCAAACTTTTACTCACAATATAAATCACACAGGTACATCGAAGACAGGCAGAGGGTTCACACACACACTTAGTACAACGGAGATCGGACAATGGCAAAACGAAGGGCTTTAATACATGGGGAAACAGATCAGGGACACGAGACAGCTGACAAGACTAACCAGGTAAACAGGTGTGACAGATGAACTAATGAGGGTTACCAAGGAAACAGATGAGTGGCGGGAAAACAGAACAAAAGAAGACATGTGACTTATGAAAATACAAACAAACACTGACACGTTACAAACACACGCACGCACACACACACACACAGTATATACAATTACTTTAAATTACATTTTTCTTTTTTTTTCTTTTTCTTTAAAAATTACATTCTTTAATTTTAAATACTTTAAAACTAGCAATCTAATATTAATAATTAATAAATGTATTATTATTTACATTGTTGTTTCCATAATAATAATAATAATAATTTTGTCCTTCAACAACTGTTTACTCATATATTTTTAAGACAGTTTTATTTATATCTGACTGTATATTGTCTCATTTTTTGCATACCCTGGTGTCAATGCAATATTAAAACATCATTCATAGAGAAACAAGGAAAGCAAGAAGCTTAAAGGCTGAAGCCGAAGAGTCTGAGCCGGGGAATATGAAGAGAAAAGCAGGATCTCTCAGAATCCCATAGGATCTCATTATCTCCGCCAGTATCCAGACAGGCAGTCAGAGGCGCTCTCGATGGGAAGCCTTATATTAATGTCATAATCTACTGAATATGGGCTTAATGCGTTTTTAACACTTTAGACGAGGCGTCCGAGTGTGTGATGCCTTTAGAGCGACGGATCTCCTGCTTATACTCACTGGACTGATGTGGGAAGAGTTCACACAGGTGAAATATTGCTTATGCTTATAGTGTCTTTTATTAGGGTAACCCATATATGTGACCCTGGATCACACATTTTTTTAAATTGAGATTTATACATCATCTGACAGTTGAATAAATACGCTTTCCATTGATGTGTGGTTTGATAGGATAGGACAATATTTGGCCGAGATGCAACTATTTGAAAATCTGGATTCTGAGGGTGCAAAAAGTTATGCATTTATGTTCACGATTTTGCTGCATTCACTCATTGCATTGTTGTTGATATATTTACGTTAGGAAATTTACAAAATATCTTCATTGAACATGATCTTTACTTAATTTCCTAATGATTTTTGGCATAAAAAAAAATCTATAATACATTGTATTGTTGCCACTAATATACCCGTGCGACATGTGACTGGTTTTGTGATCCAGAGTCACATATTTGATTTCTTGAGTTTTTCTTCTCAGAGGAGAAATTAATGTGCATATATTTATCCTCAGACATCCTTCAGCTCACGGCAGCGGATGAAGTTATGAATAAAATATACATCCTGAATCCTGAAGTGCAGTTCGACCATCGCAACTTCAACCGTAACGGAGAAGAGAGAGAACGAGACGGATGAAGGAATATCAGGACAATCAGACAATATTCATCATTTATAAAGAATAAATTCAATTATGTTTGGGATATGACATTGGATTCATGCAATTTAATCCAGAAGTTAAAGAGAATATGGTAACACTTTACAATAAGGTTCATTAGTTAATGTATTAACTATCATGAACTAACCATGAGCAATACATTTGTTACAGTATTTATTAATCTTTGTTAATGTTAGCTATTAAAAATACAGCTGTTCATTGTGTGTTCATGTTAGTTCACAGTACATTAACTAATGTTAACAAATACAACCTTTGGTTTTGATAATGTATTAGTAAATGTTAAAAACAATATTAAGTAAGATAAATAAATGCTGTAGAAGTATTATTCATTCTTAGTTCATGTTTACTAATGAAGCTTATTGTAAAGTGTCACCAAGAACACAAAACCCTGCTGAGTATTTCAATAGTTGCACGAACCAAGAAACCTCTTTATCAGAACACACTAAAAGCTGAGATTTGTGTTGCAATTTGAGACACTAGAGGATTCATTCTCAACGATTGAACTTTAACAATTGTTTGCTAGTGAATAAACACATAGATATGAGTAATATGAGTGGCGTACCTGACAGAGAGAAGCTGATGAGCCTCCGGCTGCCAGTCTGAGGGAGATCTGCACTGATGACCGGCTTCAGAGC